CTTGACATAACAGCAAGACTCAAGGGAGGCGTTCCCTTCCGAAACAATTCGCCCAATTCCACCGCCCGCCATGCCAATCCACTAAAACAATCGCAGCAAGCGCGCATGTTAACCGCTGGGGTTTGTAAACAGCGCACCGTCCACTCATCGAGTAGAAATATTAAACAAGTGTCTTTTATCCATAAAAAAAGGAGAGAAATTCAATTATGTTTCTACACAAAACGTTGGCAGAAAAAACTTAGATCGTTTCCTTTCTGAACCCAACACCAACTGATTTAAAAAAGGTTACATCAGAATAGAAATCAAGAGAAACAATGCAACAGCGACTCAGCTGCTGCAGCGTACAGATGATACACGTGGGACGGACACAGGTGGCAGCTACAAGACTTTCAGGACTGCCCCTGGAGGCAAAGGCTGCACCCGATGTGCAACTTGTTCAGAGCTCTACGATTCACTTTTTCACATTTCAGTTAGAACTCAGCACACTGCCAGCAACGCTGAAAAACTGAGCGCACAACTGTGCAGCAGGAAGGACTACAACGTTTAGCTTCATTTAGATATCCTTCAAGGACGACCAATCAGAAAAGCAGTTAGGCGCAGGAGATGTTCCTTCAGCCTGTGCAAGTCGCTTCCGCATTTTAATTCGACCCGCTGATCTGCACCTCAATTCTATTTACCCAATCTTTGCCCTACACCCCTTCACATTTTTTGAAAATGGAGGTTTATCAACTGACTTGGCTTCAGCTGCTTTCTGGGAGAGTGCGTCCAGGTATCCATAGGGGATTTAGATGAAATATTCCCAGACTGATGATTCTGGTTATGTATAGCTATAATTTTATGATTATGCTTTTGTTGTGGACTCTCCCGCTAGACAGACACTTTCTCCCAAAATATCTACCCCATCAAATCCTTCAATTACTTAGTCATTTACTGAACAACCTCATTAGCTAACCCTTTAATCTTTTATACTCAGGGGAATGAGAGTCAATGAAAACTACAATCACAATTTAAACCCCATTATCATTCTGTTCTGCGTTCCCACCAATGCATCCTTCCCACACGCTAAGAATTGAACAGCGTATTCCAGAGTCTAACCAGAGCTTGACATAATTTGTAACATTGGCATTTCAATGACTAGCAATCCTCAAAATAATTACTTTTTATTCCTGCCCCATAGCTTATAGTGATTTCTGTACTTGGACCCCAAAATCTCTACTTCAAGGGTGCCCAGCTTCAAAGACGTGCAAAATAATGCATCATTTGAGTCTAGAGTGACTAACCTCTCACTTTCCCTGCTTGAACTCAGCAGCTAACAGTTCAAACAAGCCTCTGAAGTACTGGATATTCTAGTTCAGCCCAAGGCACATAGAAATCAGTGGTGGCCTGCAAATGTCAAGAATGGGACCTGAAGGTGAGTTTAACTATTACTTCATTGGAAACTAACATTTAAAGAAATATGCATTTTTTCACTGGTTGGAAATATCCAAATTGAATGAAATGTTCAAGATTATTCCACATCTCATCAACTGTCAGAATTTGGCAACAGGACAAAGTCACAACTTGAAGTGTCAGCTACCACTCTGGCTCTGCAGTAATATTGTAACCACAATACTTCTTTTCCAGTATGTATTTTTTGCAATTCTAAGTACACCTTAATTTCACAAGCAGTTAGCATTGACAGAATATTTCTTAAACTAATGAAGCATTTATAGGCCACTTACACTTTTGATTTACACTGTGTACAGGGCCCATATACATCATTATCATTGTTGTACATCACAAAGATTGCAATTAGACGCTCACCAATACCCACAGAAGACCTGACTTCTAAGATAGATACACCTTATAGATGTTACGAAGGTACATCAAATTTAGATTCTCATATGCCAGTGAAGTGGTTATGCAAGTGACTATCACAGGTTTCTCCTGCAGTTATTAATATAACCCAAATCTTCTACTACTGTAGACATTAAAAACACAGCCAATGCTGATCTGGCTGTGAGGAGGTGGGAACCATTTACTGTCATTCTCAGAGTTAGACTGAGCTGAGAACTCCTTCCCATCTCCAGGCAACCTGACCTCCGCTTCTTTCCTTTCCAAATCCACAGCTTCGTCTCCTACGTTCCCATGGAAAGCCCAGCACAAGAGGCCAAAGCTCCATTCTCTAGTTTCAGAAAAGGCTTTGTTAGTTTTCAAGGAGACAGCGTGAGAGCTGAACCACAATCACTCAAGCTCAGGATACAAACTGAACCACTCAAAGCTAAGAAGCATCACACAGAGGCCATGCTAACAAAAATCTATCAGAGTTAAAAAGGAATCTTTTTTAAAAAAGTGATTATCATGTCAAACCACTGAGCCTCAACTTGCTTAAGTGAAGCTTTTGTTAATTTGGGAGCAGTGTTCAGACATCCACGAACATTAAAGTACGTGACTATCTTTCAGATTTTATGGGATCAACATCTCCAACTGGATTAATGCATTTGGTCCCAAGTCTCTCATTGCTACAGCTGTAAAGAACAAACTGGGCCTGATGACCAGTTGAGAGTTGACTCAAACACTAACAGTCATTCAATTTAAATGAGGGTTTGTTGATGGATTAGTCCAAACAAAAGTTCTAATCTGATTAACACATAGCAACATACATGAAACAGCTCCTCTCACTTGCATGAGTCTTCAGTGATATTAACAGAAAAGGATCTATTCCATTATATTGATGTACTGTATCTCAGGCATGCGTATGTACATAAAACCTCTTCAACACTATTGACATTTTAAATATATTTGTGTTCCAATCCAGAAACCGCTATAATAAACTAAATTCAGCATCTAGAAAACGTTGAAAATCTATTGAGCTCCAGTAATTGTCAATGTACTTGCTTTGGCTAAGTTACAAATTGTCACCCTTGAACCTCAGTAAACATCTTCCTGCCATCACAGAATTCTTATTGGAACCCTTTCACTTCATAGGAAATTTGTTTTAAAAGTTCCTAGCCCAAGTATTTTCTTAAAGTATCAGGGCTTGAAGGGAACAATTATCCCACAGCATCTTCCCACGGCACAGAAGCGGTTCAAATTCTGCCGCCTTTTCTTGTTGCAACTATCAGTCTCAAAGCGTGATAGTCAGATCCCCAGAATCTGATTTACAACTGCCAAGCGCAGTCAAGTCAAGAATTGAGCACCATTACTAATCACATTACATGGACAATCCTCCCAATTCCCAGGAGGCTGGGAGGGGGAGTGTACCTGAAGGTGTGCATGGGTGAGTGGGGTGGGGAAGGCAGTGGATGAAGTTTAGAACCAAGAACATTTTCAATTTCCCCTTCGCTCTGTGTAATTTTCAGATATTAGACCTATCTTTTAAAAGCAATTATTTGGGAAAATGCAATTTAATCATTAACTTAATCATTTAATCCCAATTTAATGTTAGAAATATTGCATGATGTGGACTGTTTATCAAACCAGAGATTCTCTTCACTGTCTCACTCAAATAATCCAACCCTGGAAGGTTTGCAGTTCCCAGCTCTCAAATAGTCTCACATTCTCCTCCTGTCTTTTTCCTATTGTAGTTTTTGTCACTGGTCTCTGGGAACTTAAACCCACGCCCTCTGCTCCCAGCCTAATTCTGCATTCAGCTCAGGCTAGTTGTTTAAAGCCTTTGGTTTCTGTTAAACCCTCTAATTAATCAGGTTAAGGCTGACAGAGCGTGGAAGTCCTCAGTTCAGGACTCCAGGGGTCCTACAAAGACAAGTATCGTGCCCTTCTTCCCTCTCCCCTCACATTAGCAAAAACAAAAAAGGAGGACCTTCCCTCCTCTCTCTGTACCCACAAGACAACATTTGTTAAATTAATCAAAGTTAAAAAATAAATTCAGTAAAATACGCAAAGACAATGCTAGTTTAGTCCTGGGTACATTTTAAATGATGTCAAACTCCAACGTAATTCACTGTCAATGCTACTTTCAAACAAAATATGCAAAAAGTATAATGCTAACATTAACATAATACCCAGGATAGCAATATTGGTTCACATTAATAGTTTAGTGATTCTTAAAATACAACTGAGAAACGTTTAGTGCACTGTTACAGCACTAAAGGCACTTCTTTCAGAATGGCTTAATTTTTAGCCTGCAATTAGCTAGGGCTGCAAAACCTGAACTATTGCAGGGCAGATTCTGTGACCAAGTTAAAAATCTCCATGACAGTGTGCTTGTGGAGACATGACAACACGCACAATGCCAGATGAAGCAGCCTGTTCACCCTCACCTGGCACTTTGTTCAAAAATAGACATTTACCGAAGAACAGGACAACGGTTGAACTTCAGACTGAAGGAGTCAGATGTAAGAGTGTGGGAAGGGCGGGAGAATGAGGCAGAAGGTTGAGGACCGGAGCAGAGAACAAACGCTTCAATTGCAACAGCTGAGGGTAACATAACCTTGAGGTGAGGTTGCAATGCACTCGCTGAGTGAACCCCCCCGACAAATTCAAACTGGGGAACCTTGCTGGCAGAAGTGCCTCAATTAGTCAGACGCCCTTTGGGGGGCGGGTGGAGAGACAGAAGCGGCTTCACTTTCTCGTGTGGCTGAGACCATCCCTATCACGGAGGAACAGCAGCTGACCAACTCAAAAAATAATAACTGAAGCTACAAAGCAGCAGCAGAGCTGAACAGTCAGGGTACCGGGTGGCCCGCTGGATTGTACACAGACTGAACCCAGCTCTGTCTCAGCCGGTGTCCATCTCTTCCTTACCACAGCTATCCCTACCCCCTGCTCGCTTTGCACCCAAAACCTATACCACTGCAGCACCTGTGCCCTAGTGCCAAACCTGAATCCCCAGTGCCAACTCCCTGAGCACCTTGCACTAAGTATCTACCCTCTCCCTGCAGCCCTTGCCCACCTTAGACTTACCTTATACCTTATACCAGCTTGTGCCCTCTGGTCAATGCTCACTAGCAGGGTATTTTGCGCATGTATACCAGTTGCTTCTGATGGCTCTGACTCACCTGTTCCCGGCTCCGGGAGATCCAGGTCTCCAGCAGCAGCTCCAGCCGTGCCCGGTGGAATTTCTTCGTGGTTTTCACGGCGATAAACAGGTCTCCCGCACTGACATCGTCCCGGAATGGTTGTGGAGTGGCAGCCAGCTCTAGTGGCGAGGCCAGCCTCCTCCCGGAGCCCCTGGTCCGGCTCAGCTCACTGAAATACTCCCTAAAGCTGTGGGCCGGCGGCTCCGGGGCTGCGGCTGTAACCTCCTCGCCGTCCTCTTCCTCCGGCCAGGGGCTCTCCCAGCTCTGCAGAGAGCGGCTCCGGAGTTCCAGTCTCCGCTGGCCAGCTTGGCCCTGTCCCTGGTCCGGTAGGAGCAGCAACAATAGGCAGGTGAAAACTGCAGCTAACAGCCAGAGAAACACCTTCCTGGAGCACAGCCTCGGCATGTTCCTGAGAGCACTCTGTGTAATGTGTATATCTGTCTCTCTCTATGTATACGCGCGTCTGTGTGGCTCTGTGTATGTGTCTGCGTGGTGTGTTTCTCTGTGTGTGTCTGCCTCTCTATGTCTATTTCTCCCAGACTCCGTTAGGTGTGAGCCTGTTTCTAAGTTTCCCCTCTACACAAATACACACACTCTCAGTCTCGACAACCACTGACCGCTCGGTCTGGCTCCCCCGCCTCCTTATATAAGCTGCCGCTGGTGTCGTGTTCTACAGGACCCGCCCCTCGGTGACTGACGGCGCTGCGATGCCCCTCTCAGGCCAGGGGGCGTTGAGTGTGAAGTTGGAGACTCGAGGTGGGGGAGGGTTTGTAACGACATTGCGAGCGTTCAACACAAGAATGTGCAGTGTGTGAGTGAGTCATCAGTGTGGGACTGGTGGCACGGAAATTATTCAGCATTTGCAGTGAGGATGTGGGATTTTTGCTTTGTTCACTTATGGGAATCGCTGGTTGGGCTGGTATTTATTGTCCATCCCTAGTTGCCCGCGAGAGGTTGGTGATGAGCTGCTTTTTTGAACCACTGCAGTCGACCTGCTGTGGGTTGACCCACATGCCATTAGGGAGGGAATTCCAGGATTCTGACCCAGTGACCATAATGAAATGGTGATAACATAGTGTGAAGCTGGAGGTGTGTACTATCTACAAGATGCACTGCAGAACTTCAAAGCTCCTCAGACAGCACTTTCCAAACCCACGACCACTTCCATCTGAAGCATTTCTGAAGAAGGGTCCCAACCTGATCTGAAACATCAACTTTCCTGCTCCTCTGATGCTGCCTGGCCTGCTGTGTTCCTCCAGCTCCACACTGTGTTATGTCTGACTCCAGCATCTGCAGTTCTTACTATCTCTGAGTAAAGAAATGGTGATGTGTTTTAAAGACAGACTGGTGAGTGGCTTGGAATAGAGGGTGGCATTCCCATGTATCTGCTGCCTTTGTCCTTCCAGATGGGTTTGGAGGTGCTGTCTGAGGAGCTTTGGTGAAGTTCTGCAGTGCGTCTTGTAGATAGTACACACTGGTGCTACTGGGTATCAGTAGTGGAGGGAGTGGATGCTTGTAGATGTAGTGCCAATCAAGTGGGTTGCTTTGTCCTGGATGGTATCCAGCTTCTTGAGTGTTGTTGAGGCTGCACCCATCCAGGCAAGTGGGGAGTATTCCATCACACTCCTGACTTGGGCCTTGTAGATGGCGGACAGGCTTTGGGGAGTCAGGAGGTGAGTTACTCACAGCAGGATTCCTCGACTCTGGCCTGTTCTTGTACCAACAGTATTGAATAGAGAGTCCAAGTCAACTTCACGCCAATAGTAGCCCCCAAGATGTTGATAGTGGGGGCCTTAGTGATGGTAATAACATTGAATGTTACTTGCCACTTGCCAGCCCAAGCCTTGATATTGTTGACATCTTGTTGCATTTGAACATGGACTGCTTCTGTATGTGAGGAGTCATAAATGGTGCTGAATATTGTGCAGTCATCAGCGAACATCCGCACTCCTGAACCTTATGATGGGGGGAAAGTCATTGATGAAGCAGCTGAAGATGGTTGGGTCTATGATACTACCCTGGGGAACTGTTGCATTTTCCTCCAACAGGTTATTTGAACTTAATTTCATAGAATTACAGAAACACAATGCAGGAGACCATTCAGTCCATTGAGATTTCCCTGACTCTTCAAATGAGTGTCGTTACCTAGTGTCAATTATTATCATTTTTTATCCAAATAATCATCTGATGCCCTCTTGAATGTTTCAATTGAACCTGCTTCTCCCACGTTTCCAGGCAGTACATTTCTAAATATTTGCTGAGCTAAATAATTGTTTTCCACCATCACATTTGCTCCTTTGGCAATTCACTTTAAATCTATGCCCTCTTGTTCCTGATTGTTTTATGAATGGGAACAGTTTCTCTCTATCCAGTCCGGTCATGATTTTGCCTTCTTCTTTCCAGGTAGACCAGTCCGAACCTCTTCAATCTATCCTCACTCCTGAAATCACTTCCCTCTTCAATGTGTTCACATCATTGTGATGCCCAGAATTGTATACAATACTCCAGTTGAGTTGTAGCAAGTGGCTTCTACAAGTTCAACATCACCTCCTTGTTCTTGTAACTACGTCCCGATTAATAAAACTGAGAACAACTCATGCCTCATTAACTGCTCTCTCCACCTGTCTTGCCACTTTCAATGAGCTGTGCACATATATATCATTGTTCCTTCAATGTCACTGAGTCAAAATCCTGAAATTCCCTCCTTAATGCTATTATGGGTCTACCTACAGCACACAGATAACAGCAGTTCCAGAAGGCAGCTCACTACCACCTTCTCAAGGGCAATCAGGGTCAGGCAAAAATGCTGGTTCAACCAGCAACACCCACATCCTATGAAAGAATAAATTGTAAACAAAAAAGACAAACAGTGGTAGAAGTTTAGAGTTCTAGTCTGTAAATGGCAGTTAATGCTAGATCAATTATTAATTTTAGATTTGAGATTGATAGTTACCTTTAGCCAAAGATATTATATGGCAAAGGTCCTAGATCAGTCATAATCTCATTGAATAGTAGAATGGCTTTGAGGAGGCAACCAACCTACTTTTTATCTGTTTCAGTGGGGCAACTGCTGAGGCAAAGAGATTAAAATCACCTGGGCATCACTCTGTTTATGTCAGGAGTGTTTGATGCCTCTGCCTGCCCAGTTAAAATTCTCCCTCACAGCTGTACAATATAAGAGAGTAACCATGTATGATAATGGATGCATGTGGCATGACAGCTAGTGGGAATACGAGTAGTGTGTGGTGATGAAAGTAGACAGGGTAGCGGATGTGCGTGTGTACAGTGTGTGTGAGAGTTAGCCTAAAGTGAGTTGGTATTAATGAGCATGTACAATGTGTAAGATAATATTAGAAGTGGAATGTACATATAAGAGTGGTGAACCAGTGGAGAGTAAATGTGTAGTGTTAATGATGATTTGCAAAGTGAAGATATGTGCGATGGTGAGCTAGTCTGTGAAAATGAATGTACAAGTGTTCACGGTAAGAGTGATTACATACAATGTGAGTGTATATTGGTTGTATAAGAGAGTAAAAATGCATGTATCTGCAGCTGTAACATTGTATTCCTCGTTGTTCTATTATCCTTACGCACGTTGTGTGGTATGATCTGCCTGTACTGCACGTAAAACCCAGGTACATCTGACAATAATAAATCAAATCAAAAAGAATCAGTCAATGCTGTTTGCAACCTTGAAATTTACGAGCAAAGTATATGGAAAATATCTCTTGTAGCCGCAGGAAGGAAGTTTACTAAATATTTATCAAGATCAATAGTTTCTGATTTATCCAATTTCAAGACGTAGCTTAAATGATCCTTTTCATCCCTGTCTCTTTCTTTTTATATGACAAAATTAGATTTTCATAACTGCAGAGAGGTGTTATGCAAGTAGATCATAATTCTTGGTACCTAACAATTTGTGGAGCAGATTCCTTTTGTCTGCAGAGCGAAATATAAACCTGTTGTTTTGGGCAGAATTGTGTCAACGGCTGAGAACAGACCCTATTCACATAAGTACCTTTATGACTGTTTTGGAGCTCAAAGTCTTCCCCCATGTTATAACAGCAAGGAAATTGGAGACTTCAAATGTGTAATATTGCATGGAGCTTTTATCATTACTGGGGTGATCATGAGAATTTCCAACATATTTTGAAATGTTCTGATTTGCTCAACTTTGATAAACAAGTAGATGGAAATGATCTGAGGTGGGTGTGAGTGTAGAGTAATCAGATCAGCCATAATCCTGTTGCATTGCGGAACAGTCTCAAAGTGCCAAGTAGCCCACTTCTGCTTTTAATATGTATGTTCATAGGTTTGAATTTTTATTTTCTTGGCCCAACTTGTCAAAGCCTACCAGGTTTCTTAAACTGAACTGGTGTCATTTGCCTGGGTTTGGCCCACATACCTCTAAACATTTCCTATCCATGTACCTCTCCAAATGTTTTTGTAAATGTTGTACTTGCACCCACCTCTTTCACTTTCCTCTGGCAGCTCATTGAATATATGTGGCAGTGCTGGGGTGGCATGGTGGCTCAGTGGTTAGCACTGCTACCTCACAGCACCTGGGACCTGTGTTCAATTCCATTCTCGGGTGACTGTCTGTGTGGAGTTTGCACGTTCTCCCTGTGTCTGCGTGGGTTTCTTCTGGGTGCACCAGTCCAATGGCCTCACAGTCCAACGATGTACAGGTTAGGTGGATTGGCCATGCTAAATTGCCTCTAGTGTCCAGAGATGTTCAGGCTATGTGGATTAGCCATGGGAAATGCAGAGTTACAGGGATAAGGAAGTGGGATGGGTCTGTATAGGATGTTCTTTGGAGATTCAGATCAGAATTGAAGGGTCTGCTTCCACACTGTAGGTAATCTATGATATACACACCACACTCTGTGTGGAAAAAGTTGCTCCTCAGGTCCCTTTTAAACCTCTCACCATAAACCTATGCCCTCTAGTTTTGAACTCCCCTACCCTCGAGACAGGACCTTGGCTATTCACTTTATCTATGCCCTTCATGATTTTATAAACCTCTATAAGGTCATTCCTCAGCATCCTATACTCCAGAGAACAATGTCCCAATCTATCCAGCTTCCTTATAAGTCAGACCTTTCAGACTTGGGAACATTCTTATAAATCTATTTTTAGACTCTCTCCAATTTAATAATAGCCTTCCTATCGCAGGACGACCAGATATAACACCATGATGCTCAGTAAGCAAGTCTACGGGATACCAGACCTGGAGTTAGCACACAACAAAGAATTTTGAATCCTTGCATCTTAGAATTAATTTCAGGTCTAGGTTACAGATCTTCAGTCTCTGCTGTTTCCTAAGAATGGATGATATAGGAGCAGGGGTAGAGAATATGACACCTCAAACTTGCTTCACCATTCCATAATGATAATGGCCAGTTCTCAACCTCAAAGCCACTTTTTCTTTTGTTGGCCTTCCAAATTGATAGCTATTTTTTCTAACTTTCTGTGTCCCTTGCACAATGTACCCAGATCCTTCTGAACATCAACATTTACAAATTTCATGCCTTTAAAAAATGCCTTCTATTCTTATTAGCAACATGAATAAACTCACTTTTTCCTACATTCTATTCTTTCTGTCACCTCATTGCCCACTCACTCAACCTGC